GATTAACATGTTCACGTGACATAAAGCGAGTCTACCTCATCATTCTCATAATCACATTAACATCAAAGCGTTAGTGTGCGTGGAAAAAAAAAAGAAGCTCGGATTTCTTTATCGAATGCCTGCTTCTGTTGAATTTAATATCTTAAAATGCCAAGCTTTACCTCCCACCGCCAGGTTTTCCCTCAGGCAAGTTATTATGCAACAGAAAGTGGACCGGCTATGTGAGGCACAGTGCGCTTTATATATATCATGTGCACTTTAATTTGAAGCTTTAGAGACTGCAAGAGAAAGACAAGGCCACTTAAAGACCCTTTCACCCTCTTCTAACAGCATTCTGTTTTCCCTCCACTACTCTGAGCTGTGCATTCAGAGGCTGCATTGGTGACCCCACTCAAAACTGTGAGAGAGAACTGAAAACATGAAAAAAAAAAGCTTCTCGAAAATTCCTTCATCCACGGGGAATATTCTGCTGTTTTTTAAAGTTTTCTTTAAGCGAACGGAGTAACAACAGCCTCAAACTTTCTAGTGTTTCAGTTTCTCTTCTCTGTAAATTTCATGCATTTCTGTTTGAAACTTTATGTGGAAAAAAACAAGACACTGAAGTCGCCACCATCACTTTCTGCAAGCTCATGTAGGCATCCTGCTCTCCTCGAGTCTGCACCTTCACACTTCATTAAATTTTGTGCTGTTTTTTTTATTCTTTATTGGAATGTTTAAGGAAGTTGTAAAATACACTCACTGACCACTTTGCTAGGGACACCTATTCAGCTGTCTATTAATGCAAATATCTAATCAGCCAATCACATGCCAGTAGCTCAGTGCATTTATGGATGTGGACATGGATAGAAACAGGAAGAAAGGTGATAAGTGACTTTCAACTTGACATGATTGTTGTCAAGTTGAAAGTTACACACGAAATTGGACAATAGATTGGAAAAAGGATCAAACTCTGCTGCGGTGTTCAGATGTTAGGGTCAGAATTTGGCTTAAACAACATAAAAGCCTGGATGAATTCTCCCTCCTATCAACAGTTCAGGTAGTTCAGTGGGGTGGTGGATGGCTCCCTGGTCCACTTTGAGCCACTTAATACCTACTTTGCGTTTTTAAATGCCACAGCCTACCCTAGTATAATTGCTGACTATGCCCACCCCTTTATGACCACAGTAAATGGCCTGTATTTGTATAGCGCTTTACTCGTCCCTAAGGACCCCAAAGCGCTTTACACAACCAGTCATCCACCCATTCACACACACATTCACACACTGGTGATGGCAAGCTACATTGTAGCCACAGCCACCCTGGGGCGCACTGACAGTATACCCATCTTGAGGACACGTGCACAATAACATGCATGTGTACTCCTCAGTTTAATCATCTCAGAATGCTTGCTCGAACATGACAGTGTTCATGATACTCAAGTGGCCTCTAAAGTTCCCTGATCTCAATCCAACAGCACACTTTTGGGATGTGGTGGAATGGAAGATTGCAGGCAATCTGCAGAAACTGTGTTATGATACAAAGTTGTCTTATGCTTAGGAATGTTTGCAGTGTTCTTACAAACCATCCTACTTTTGGAAATTGTCCTACTGTACGTAGTTTATGCACATTTCTGCTGTCACACAATAATTCCAGCATAAATCTAAGTAGGTAGGACGGTTTGCCACTTAATTTTACCCATCAGGTTATGCTTCCAGCTCATATTCTCAAAAGTAGGACAGTTTGCCACTTAATTGTGCGTTGTGCGCATGCAGGCAGAAACAATGGGTAGGGTGGTTTGTGAGGTAGGTTTGTGTGTTGTCTATATCACATACACATAAGGCACTTCTGAAGGCAAAAGGAGGGTCCAACCCAATACTAGCTATGTGTGAGTGTAGTGAGTGTAAAACATCCCACAGTTTGAAAATGGTAGCATTTGGGGACTGTTCTAGCTTCTGCTAATATTCATTTAATCCAATATAACTGTATGTAACTGCTCTTTCAGTGGTTACGCACAACAATCATGACTAGAAAATGCCTCAATTTGCAGCTTGTAAAGAAAGGTTTCTTTTTTACATCTATTCTGTGCGACTCTGTGAACTTCTTCCAGAAGCAAGTGTCACTTGAGATAAGCAATTTAATTCCACTAGAACTTAGCTAGCCTGCAGTACAATCTTTGCAGATGCAGAATTCTCCCATGCATTTTAATCCAGGATTCTTTTAAAGCCATGTCCCTCTCTTATAAGTCTGTGTTTATATCTTAAGTCTTACCCAGAATGAACAGTTCCATGTTCATTCTGCATTACAACAACAAGTCCAAACAAGAAAACAAGAAACATTACAACAGGTGGTTTGCCCCACACAGAGCCTAATCTCAACATCATGCAGTTACTGTAGGATTACATGAAGAAGTAAATGAAGACTTAATTCATTACTTTTAAAACCTTTAAAGTGGATAACTGATTTCTGTACCCCCACAAAATTAGTAGGAAATTGCACTAATAATGATGAAATTCTTGCTTTTTTCTATTTACAATACTTTGTGCGGTGTTTAGATATACATTCTGTTGTGTTCTACTCTATTCTACAATCTCTCTTGTACAGATTTAATCCAGGCTCAAATATTGGCTGTGGTGCAGCACTCAGTTACCTCTGTGTAGAGTGTTTGTATGTGTGGGTGTTTGGTTAGTGGCATTAGAAGAGGATATGAGAGAAGCTGACATTGTAAACCTGGATGTTGTTTTTACCAGACATGGTGGTATTAATCATGCGTATTTTGCCAGCCTGAGCTCTGCTACGTCATATATTTTTTGCTCCTTATTTTGTGAAGCTGGTCTTGGCCTTTGCTGTAAGTGCACCGATTTCTTGAATGTCAAATCCAACTTGCTTATTTGCTTATCGCAGGATGTAGTTTCAGTTTCATCAAAGCTTGTTCTATGAGACAACAAAACCTGTTGCTAATATGTATTCTTATCATTCTATCTAATAACTTATAAGTGCTTTTATTGATGAGGCTGTTGGGTTTCAGCTTACACTCAAAGAAATCTTAGTTTTTTAATTAGCAATTCTCACTCATAAAATAATCCTTTGAAAAAAAAAAAGTTTACAGCCTACAGCAGATTCTTTTTTGATATCTACACTGAAAAGTCAGCTTTATCTTCAAAACAATTCCTCAAATATACTACCTAAACAAAAATAATAATAATAAAATTATAATCATAATGTATTAGATAAAATATATAGCATTTTCTAATACGTATGTGTCTTCCTTAAGCTCAGGTCCCTTACCACAGCTGTTCCTATGACTGCAATCTTCTGAATAGGTCTGGAATATGCCGGAGCACCAGCAGACCTAGTTTTAGTGATACAGCTCCTCTTTCCTATTTTCTCATGCTCTTTCTTTCTGGTGTTGCTGGGGAATTGAAACATCTATCACAACTGAAGTGTTATGCTCCTTGTCAACCATCACTATCTCTGGTTGATTGGCCAGCAGTTGCTTGTCTGTCTAGAGCTTGAAGTCTCATGGGACCTTAGCCCTCATCTTTTTCAACCACCTTGATGTTTCCCATTGGGAGCTGGGACTTCTAATCCATATGCAGCACAGATGTTCCTGTATCTACTATCCCAGCCACTTGGTTGTGCCCCAGTGTACACTTTCACAGTTCGCATATTACATCCTGCTTCTATGCGGTGGACTGTTTCCGGAGTACTTTTGCACAGCCTGCAATTTGAGTCCTGTCAGTCCTATTTGAGTTCTACTGCCTCTTTGGATCTGGTGCTTAAGGCATGTTCTTGTGCTGCCATGAGTGCTACCAGAGCCTTTAGGCCAAACATTTCAAGCAACTGATGTCAATCACTTCCTCTATCTGTCATTGGTACTGTCAGTGGGAGTTTGAGGGTCTTGCACAGTATCTTTGATGTTCATAGGACTGCGCTCTTCAGGACAGAGATCTTAGGTGTCATTCCTGGGATTTGTTGGAGCCACTCACCCAATTCGGAGGTCACTGCCCCGGTTGCTCACATTACCACAAAGACTACTGTTGCTTCAGCCAGCAAATCTTCTCAAGCTCCTCTCTGAGCCCTTAGTATTCCTCAAGCTTCTCGTGTATCTTATTCCTGATGTTGCTATCACTTGGCATAGCTACATCTATCACTTTGGTCGTCTTCCTTTGCTTCTCCACCACTAATATGTCAGGTTGGTTAGCCATCACCAGTTTGTCTGTCTGTATCTGGAAGTCCACCAGGATCTTAGCTCATAGCCCAGGATTCTCAACCACCCAAAGAGGTGTGTCCCATTTTGACCTGTGGACTTCCAGGCCATACTCAGCACAGATGTTCCATATATATGCCACTTGGTTATATCCTGCCTGCTAGCATTCTGCACCTGGATTCTTGCCTGGTGTGATAGACCCCAGTCTCTATGGATCTTGTGCTTAGGGCTTGTTCCTGTGCTGCCATGATTAGTGCCTAGATAGATAACACCCCACTCACACAATGTACATTCTCAGATTTCAACTGTAAATTTCCAGATTGTTTTGTTTTATTTTATTTATTTATATAATGTATATAACTCACTTACTGCAGACAATGTACATATTCACTCACTGTATATAATGTTCTCTCTCTTGTTTTCTTGTTTTTTTACACAATCGAGGAGCGTATCAGGTCACATTTCACTGCGTGTTATACTTGTATAAACAATTTTGAATCTTGAATCTTGAATCTTGCCTCTGCGCTGTCTTTCAAGCCAGCTTTGCCTAGCCACTAATAGGATTTTCCAGTATCAGCCACTTCTTCCATCTATGCCAAATGTTTGGACACACCTTCTCATTTAATGTTTTTTCTTTATTTTCATGACTATTTACATTGTAGATCCTCAATGAAAGCATCAAAACTATGAATGAACACATATGGAGATATGTTGTAAACTAATAAGTGTGAAATAACTCAAAACACATTTTATACGTTAGCACATATTATGCACACTTTTGGCATTCTCTCAATGAGTTTCATGAGGTAGTCACCTGAAATGGTTCTCCAACAGTTCCCAGAGATGCTGTTGGCCCTTTTGCCTTCACTCTGCGGTACATCTCATCCAAACCATCTCGTTTGGGTAGGTCAGGTCACTGTGGCGGTCAGGTCATCTGGTGCAGCACGCCATCACTCTCCTTCTTGGTCAAATAGCCCTTACACAGCTTGGAGGTGTGTTTGGTATCTGTGTCCTGTTGAAAATAAATAATAGTCGAACTTAATGCAAAATGGATGGGATGGCATGTCGCTGCACAATGCTGTGGTATCCATGATGGTTCAGTCTACCTTCAATTTTGAATGAATCCCCAACAGTGTCACCAGCAAAGCACACCCACACCCTCACACCTCCTGCTCCATCCTTCACGGGGGAACCATGCATTTAGAGACCATCCCTTCACCTTTTCTGCGTCGCACAAAGACAGGTGGAACCAAAGATCTCAAATTTGAACTCATCAGACAAAAGCACAGATTTTTACTGGTCTAATGTCCATTCCTTGTGCTTCTTGGCCCAAACAATTGTCTTCTGCTTGTTGCTTTTCCTTAGTAGTGTTTTCTTATCAGCTATTGGATGGATAGATTGATTTCATAAGGGGAATTATTGTGTTACAATAAAACTGCTACAGGTGCACAGTTTTAAATCACATTTAAAACACTTTGCAAATTTAGTTTTATTCAAAGTTTGCATGAAAATACTTTGCAGTTTCATAATTGCACTGGTCAGTTTTCAGTACTCTGCTTTACTAAGCTTTACAGTGATGCTCTGATGTTGTACTAGACACATCTAACGTGCTATTCTTTCGCTACATCAAGGGTAAAGACATCAGTTTATATCTAGGGTACTGATGCTGATTAGAGTCAGTTATTGAGTTCTACCTTTTACATTAGCTTTATATTATCTAGTGGTTGAAAAAAAAAACTAAAGCTCATGTAACATAATGTTGAATTCAGCAGGATAAATCAGCAAAGAGCAGTGAAAATCAGAGCAGCAGCCCAGGTCAACTGATCTAAGAAAAATCAAATGGAGCTCACAAAACAAATTATTATGTGCCTTATTTCTAAGTAGTTTGTTTCCCTATGCTGCACTGCTTTGCCCATCTGCCGAATCTCACTATCTAACCCCTGCTTGTAGAGTCATGGAATAAAAATAGGGAGCTTGAAAAGGGCATAATAGGTCCATGTTAAGTGATACTCCTGAAAAAAAAAAAGGTGTTCGTTAAGTGTTTTTCTAAGAAAAAAAAATCTTGGCTGAATGTACTTTAATTCCCTGGGTTCACAGGTTTTAATATTTAAGATTGTTGATGGATGTTGGATTTAGACTGTTTAAAAGCAAAGAATAGAACAGACACAGGAGTCGACTTCATGAATCACTAATTTGGACTGTATCTTTTCGAACAACAAGAACACAGTGTAAAAATGTTGTGACTTTACTGAAGGTAATGTAGTCTATTTCAGCAGATGGGTCATGGCGTGCCCTCTTCAAACATGTTTCACTGTGATTTTAAAGTCGGCATCAAAATAAATTCAAGTGCCTGGATCTAGATCAAATCTCCTTGGCTGATGATCTGACCCTGCCCCAACATCTTTTTAAAATGTTAAACATTTCTGTTAGATATGATAAAAGACAGGAAAAAAAGATCCAGAACAACTCCTTCCAAGAGCTTTATTTTCTCAGTGGTAGATGTAATAAATTAAACCATCTGATGGATGGATGGACGGATGAGTCGTGACTAAAGAATGCCAGGGCCACATTTTGTGCCCAGTCTGGTGTTCCTATAGTAACTCTTTTACAGGGCTCTTATTGCCACACAGTTTCTGCTTTTTCTGTCTGGTTTCCCTCCAGTTCACTCTGTGTGAGGGGCTCTTACTCCTTATTTGGCAGTGCTGTAAATTGTTTCTGTCAGCTTAGATAAACGGACCCCTGGGTTTGTCCATCTCCCTTCAACACATACACCTTTACACACACATCCAAGCACAAACATTCACACAGCAACCCTCTCCCACACAGAGACACACACACACGTATATAGATTATGCAGTAATCAACGAGCAAGGGTTTATTCTTTACACGCTTGTTTTCAATGCTTGTTTACTTGTTTTCCACATTATTAATATTCCACCCTTCTGCAAGGTATCTAAAGGTTCACCTTCCTGAAGCAGATAAGGATGTTATTTATTCAAGCATTGGCAATGTTGGCATTGGCAAATCTTTTAAAATACTCTCAAATGGCCATGAATTTACCTCCAAAATATGAAAGGAGGTTGTAGATAATTATCTTGAAATCTTCTTCCATCATGATCAGAAATGTCTTTATTGCAAATCGGGTGAGATCAAAAAGGAGAAAAGGCATAAGTCTTAAAGTAAGATATCATGGCAGCTTACTCTGACATTGGCAGAAAGAGAAACTGAAACAGAAAGTATTTGGGACGCAGAGTTTCCCAACTCAAAGTATCCTTCAGTTCTGTCATTTTCAACCGAAATTGATTTTCTGTGAACAAGGATATCATCTTGCTTCATGGTTTGTTGCCGTAAACCATTGTGCAAACTGATTTACCTCTTCTCTGGCGCAGTGCGATGGCAGTGATAATTTCTTTCCTCGCTTGTTTTTTTCTATTTCTTTAGGGACTTTATTATGTCATTTCTGCTGAGATGCAATTTAGGCAGACAGTTTTGTTCCCTGTTGATCTGATATAATGAGATGAGGTGGCATTTCTCTTGTTTGTTGAAGCATTCGGCTTTTATCCCAGATGTCTCCAAAAAAAGAAACATTTTAACAATAAAAGCACCGATGCAGATTAAATTTCATATGGAGAAAGTGAGACGACATAAATTAAGGTATGGCATGCCATGTAAAATGCTTATAGATGACAAATATATTTTAAATGGTCTTATGAAGATCCCTTTTTCACGTATTGAGATTTTTCAGTTACATTTCCTTTCTGCAGAGTGTTTTCTTGAATGTAAGATAGAGATGTGGATAGAGATGAATAAATGAACTAAAAGCTTTAGTAGCTGCGTTACATTATACAGTACTCAGCTGTTCTGGGAACAAGAGGAAATGACTTTTTATTTCCTTTTTCTCTCTATGATTTGGCTTTCAAAGAATGAATGCAGCATGCAGCTTATTAATTAATGCCCAATTTGAAAACATTGCTGGAAGAAGAAAAGGGTCAGCCGTAACATAATGATCGCCAGAGGCCACGAGTTTTCTTAATCATCAAGTCCCTCGTCAGCGTTGGTCATAGGAAGTAAATCCTTCATTAAGCTCGAGTTTCTCGCAGAGGTAGCATATTAGCACTTGTTTACCGCAAGCCTCAAAGCATTGTGTAGGAGAGGTCTTCTTCAAACAGGAAGTGCTCGTAGGATTGCAGGGCGCTCCGTTTCTGAGGGACTGAATTGGAAGGGATGAAAGTGCTGTTTGTTGTCTTTTGACTCAGTGCGGCTCGGTGTATGCAGTTCAGTGTCTGTCACTGTCTTTGTGTTTCTCACTTTGCTTCTCTCTCATACATACTTAGCCACATAAACACTGACACTATGATCTACTATTATATTATACACAAGCGTACAGGCTCGTGTCCTCACACGCGCAGCTGTTAGATACAGTGAAGATGAAGCAGAATGAGGGAGTGGTTTCTCCTGTAGAGCTTAGCTGGGCCAAGTGTAATTGCATAGGTGGACATAAGCCTAATAACGGCCTTATTGAACCAAATCGGTGCTTTCTGCCCGCAGAGATACTTCTGAGCAGTCTTTTTCATGTAGTTGTTATGTTTTGTCTTGAGGGTGTACAAGTCACCATTTTCTACCTCTCTCTTTGCCGCGGTTTTGGCTGTGCTGTCCTCCACCCCCTCAGACAGGCACTCTGTTAGAGCTGAGATGAGGAATGAATTGAAAGAGGTGTGAATACTACAGCGTGGGATCATTACAGTGATGACTTCAAGGTTTTGTGCCACCATTCCCTTGGATCCCTTGTAATATGAACTGTCCTATTACAACAGCCCGGATTTATTTATTTTCATCGTGTGTGTGTGTGCGTGCGTGCGTGCGTGCGTGCGTGGTGCGTGCGTGCGTGCGTGCGTGCGTGCGTGTGTGTGTGTGTGTGTGTGTAGGTCAGTGATTGCAAACAAATCCTCTTACATTTTTTTTTCCAGAAGCCAATGCAGCTTCTGTGCAGGGGTGTTGGTTTGACAAAAGAACCAAACTGTGGACTAGATTATGCATTCTAATGGATCATCAAGGAATCGGGATTGTCAGTATTTGAAGATATCAGCATGTCCTTGCGTGGGGAGAAAAAAAAAGGCATATATTAAAAATATATATATTTTGATGATAGTTTTCAACTCTTGAATAAATGTTTCTATTAGCATAATCAGGTATTATAGTATGACAAAGTAACAGCTTCCAAAAGTTGAACATTTTCATTAGTTATAAGCACAGCACAGCACTTTATATATCTGATATTGTGCACTTCAACTGACACTAAAGATTCTTTGGTACACCCACAAACTGGTCAATAATGAACAAATCAGGACATTGTTTCTGAATTACCTCAGATATTCAATTAATGACCAGCATACACACTCACGCCAATATCTCTTCATTATTATCATCTGATATATTGAGCTGACCAATTTATCATAGCTTTATGATAACAAAGAATTAAATGAGCAGCAGGAGAACCACATGAAAGATGTGTTGTATAGCTTTGCTTATAATAATGCCAGTCTTTCAGTACAGCAGGTTATTAAATAAAGGTCTAGTCTAGTCAAGTCAAATCGTTTCAAATAGGCCAATGATAGGTTCAATAAACAGACTAAAAAGACAATATTTCATCATTAAATTTTCTTACTTGCTTCTATGATGTAAGATTCATCCGGTCTGTCCAGCAGAGACAGGCCAAAACCCGTTTTAAATGCAGCCCCATTTCAAATGGGGAAACACTAGAGGTTTTTCAGATGAGTGAATTGAGTCAGAGGTATCGACTGGTAAACGGGAGAGTGGAGGAGACCTAGGGGGCCACTTCTAATCCACGGTGACCTACTCTTATCACGCACAGCCAAGGTCAAGAGTCTAATGAGGATGGAACGCCATTAGAGCAATTAGACCAAACTACCTTGTTTCTGGGGCATGCAGAGCCATGGGAGAAGAGGGAGAGGACGAGAAGGAGGGAGAGAACTACAGGAACGACAGACTGATGATCTGCCCAGCAGCTGCCTGCTTTCTGTCTCTCTCCCCCCACCTTTCTGCAGACAAACAACGGGTAAGCACTCAGCGGCACAGCGTTGCAACAGTGACACATGGTGGCAAAGGCACTCCCTGACAGAAGTGTCAAAAGAGTGGCTGCAGGGATGTTTTACATGAACAGAGCACTTTGGAGTTTATGGAAAGATGATAGTCGAGAGTCACAATGTTACTGGTACATTTTGGTGATAACAATTCAAACTAAGGTGTCTGTATTATTGTCATTTACTGCAGGAAATCGCTGTGTAGAAGAAGGAAAGTGAGTAGTTTCAGATTTTTTAGACCATTTATTTTCATACTTCATATGCAGAGTGGGAATAAACACTCTGCTGTATATCCAGCAGACATTTTCACTTCTTCCAGCTGTGTATCATCTCATTTCAAACTGAATATGCTATGATTTTGGATCCTTAGTCATGTAAAAGAAAGTTTTTGAAGAGGACATTTGTTCTGAGAGACTTCAGTTCATCCATCCGCTTCCCTAACTGGCAATTAAGGATCGCGGGTTGGCTGGAGACTACTTCGACCGTTAAAGGGCAAGAGGTGGGATACACTCCGGACAGGTTGCTAGTCCTTTGCAGGGATATAGAAAACGTACTAAGAAATATCTAAACTGTTATTGTAATACTCTAATGATATATGGACAAACAAAATCATCCTATCATTATCCCACAATTAAAAGCTAAATTATAATTATGTATTTTCTAAAAATTTACACCCACCTCTGAAAAAAAGCCCAATTTTCAGAATCTTCCCAAATATTGTCTATATGCTAATGTATGGCAAATGAATATTTGTACTATTATGCTTTATAACAAATCATTTTTTTAGAATTTCAGAGTGCATGAATTTCTACATTAGCTACTTTTATTTTAAAAAAACATGTTTTTTTTTCTCAGTCATTTAGCCTCAAATAATTCCAGAAAAACTATGAGCGGTTTGTTTGCTGTGAAGCATAGTTGTGAAGCACCCTTTTTTGCTTCTGACCATGTAATCAAAAAAAAAAAAAAAAAGCTTACAGGCACAGACAAAAGTATCCCGGGGACATGGGAATACATTTGCAAGATTGAACTGAATAGAACACAGTAATTTTCACCTTGGGAGGTAGATCTCTGAGGGGACATGGAGACCCCAATTCCAGGCATCATGTGGAAGAAGGCCAGCACTCTGAAAACTTCAAGAGTGACTTTGATAGAAAACTGGATTACTGACAGTGCATGAAATGTTATATGTAAAAGGTTATTTAAATACTACTTAGGGTTCAACACATGCCTATTGCTTTATTTTACACAAAAACACCAGTAGGTCACAGTTTTGTGTTGGATAATATAAGTTTTAATTTGGATGACAATGCATCAGGTCATAGTGAAGGTGATTGTAGACTAACCACAAAAATAATGTGAGTAGTTTAAGCATAAAGTTCTAACTGAATAAATAAGGTAATGTATTACTTTTCTTAAAAAGACAGGTCATGTGTAATACATGACCTTTTTGAGTCAGAGAAATACTTTTAGTATAAATATTTTATTACTAAATTCTAGAAGGATCGACTAATACGCTATATTCAGCTTTAAACCTCTACCTGACCAGCTATTGTGAAAGAAGTCCATAATCTTTCTGACAGGACGGAGGGTGTTTGTTAGTGAGGTGCACTGTCACTTCAGGGGACACACACATTTCTGAACAAGTTGGTAAGAATTGAGAAAAGCCAGTGCTGCTTGAGGGATGAACCAGAATCACTCGGGGTAGTGGTGGAGAAAACGATGTTTGCGGTCTGCTATTATGGACAATGTCCTCCACCCTCTCGATGACAAAATGTCAATGCAATGGAGCACTTTCAGTCGGCAGCTTTTTCCACTGAGGCGTGCCAAGAAGCACTTCAGGAGTCCGACTGACTGCCTTCCACTACAATGCCCCCTCCCTAGCATCAGCTGCTAGCCTTTCGTTCCCCCTTATCTACTTGCCTGCAGCCTGTCATTTACTTATTTCTCAAGTGAGCTGCAATGACATTTCATCCCCTCACACGGATATGGAAGGCCAAAACTGCCAAAAAAAAGAAATGTTGAGAAAACTAAAAAAAATTCAAGGCAGCATCATCAGTAGCTTTTTTAATTTTCTCAACTTTTAACTGTTGTTGTCAACTTTACTGTGATTTACACAATTAGACAAGTTTCTCAATTACTTACTTTAATGCAAAAAAATTTAAAACTAAAGATAAAGATGAAAAAGCTGTAAGTTGGTTGAAGGATGCTAATTCTGTGAAACATCCCATGGCTCTGAATAGGTCAGGTTTACAGCCTCAAATATAATCTACCTAAATTAAAGACTGCTTCAACTGCTCCAAACTAAACATAAAGTAATTGTTGCATTTTTGCACAGTGCTGTTGACTTGTAACAGCCAGAACAGGTTTCTTTGGGTAAAAGGTAAATGGGAAATACATGCAAAAAAGTGATCAAGCTGTGATTAAAAAAATATTTTCTTCCATTTTTTTTAAATTTGTTACTACTCAATGTCAGTGTTGGACAAAATGTAACAATTAATAGTGCTGCGAATTAGTTTTTCAAAGGCATAAAATTAAAGTGTGTCCATATATTTTTGTATGAACACTGAACATGCTAGCGCATACATCCACTTACGTTTTACTAGAAATCAGATGGGCTCCCACTGTAAACATAAAGTGCATCCTCGTACACTGACAAGAACTCGAAGGAAAATTATTCTGCAAGTTTAAAATTCTTGTTATGCAGCTTTGAAAAAACGTGTTAGGGCAACTGACAAGCTTTTATTTGTTGCCCTTGGGAAATCTTTCAGTCAGTGTCTGAATGAACTGAAGGAGCAATTTTGCCTCAAATTGCATCAAAATGGCAAAAAAGACACACTATTCCAAACACAGAATGAGGAATAGACCAAAGTTACTGTTTTTGTCAACAGAGTCTGACACAGTAGCTTTAAAAAAGGTGACATAAAAGTTTGAGTTTGCTGATGGAAAAGGGCGAGAGATGTTTTTAGACTGCTCTGCCTGTCACAATTTATAAATCAATGAATAACAACATTTTTATGTTGTTTATTTCTTTATGCATCTTTATTTCTTTAGTCATTGATTTATATTTTGATTGTTTTTTGGCAGTTTCGGTCCTCCATACTGATGCAAGTATCCATATAAAGCTTCTCCACTTCATACAGAAGCTCAGCTTCATCTGTTGGATTTAATCCTGCTCTTGTTTTTGCCCCCTTTTTATTTGTCTTTGTTTTTTGATACAAAGCTCCATGGATCTATAAAGTAATTCGCTCACATAGTAATTTATTTATTCACTATTTCACAAAAAGAGGATTAGTTAATCTGCCCCCTAGTGCCCATTAGAAGGGATATGGTACATCTACAGAGAGCACACTGAACCATCAGTCACTCTGTGTGTCTCATCTGTGACGCTGTGTCCTTGTTTTTTATCTGTGTTTACTGTCTGTGAAGCTCTTTGTCACAGATGTTTTCCTGGAAATTGATTTAGAAATAAACTTGACTTGATCAATCCCACCATTTTTCTTAACCATCTGGAAGCAGTTGAGGACTCTTACACTGCGCACACTGCCCACCTCCTTCTGTCTGTCTTTCTCTGGAGAGAAACAGATCAGCTGATCAATAAGGATAATGCTAATGATTATTCATCAATTCTGTCAGTCCGTTCTTTCTACCTTCTATCTAATCTACAAAGTCAAACAGGACTCATTCCAGTGTTAAGAGGGATATTAATACTTATATAATAGTAATAATGCATCAATAAAAACAGAGGAAAAATCAATTTGTCAATTTGTGTGACATTTTACTCAAAACAACATATTTCTAGCTGTGCCATAGAAAGAGTCGGGGGATGTGTTGCATTCACAGCCTGGGAACCATTAACGTCTGTACAAACTTTCATCAAGAACATTTTATTTACTTGAGCTGACCGAAAGTAAACACAGAAATTGGCCACCCGGAATGACCACTTGGCTTACTGAATTAGGGATCTCCATCTGGGACTCATTGCTGTATGACTTAATCACAGGCATTAATCTGCTCAGGTTGGTTTGTTTACATGTGTAATGCGAACTTTGTTGAAACTCCATAGCTAAGTGGTCTTTTACGCCATGGTCACACGCCATTTCATTTTGATGGTCAGCCATAGTCATCGGTATTGGAGTCAATAAACCAAGAGAAGAGAAGGCACAGAGATGAAGACTGAGGCCCAGAGGCAATGGGACTGTCCTGAAAAACAACATACAGGTGGCATTTCTCTGTTTACTGCACAGCTAATCTCAAAGAGGGGAAGAACCTCTGCTGACTAGTGCTGAATACCAATAATCTACAACAAGAAATGATCCGACTAGCTCAGTTAACTGGCAGTTTTGTTTTGTTTTTTTTAAGTATAAGGCTTCAACAGTGACGCCGTTACAAGTAAAAACTAACTTTATATGTTGGACAGCTCGTTTGCTTTAAGCTTTCGGCATGAACGCATAAACAAACCACCTTAAGTGAAGAAATGTGTGGACTGACCTAAAACAAGGGGTAAGTCAATAGGTTACTCCTGATGCACAAAATTGCTATTTCAACAGCTAGCTTCCATTTATCCTGCCGGTTACACTCAAAAACATCTTTAAAAAATGATCCATGTTATTTTGAAAAAGCCAGAGGAAACTCCAGCTACCTGTCACACATACACTTTTACCTGCTTTTCTGAAATGTCCCCAAGGCGGTGAGCGTGACCTATAAAGCCACACTAGTCATATTATTATATCAGAGTGAATTAAACACACATTAAAGCAGCTGGATTTATCCCCTCAAGACCATTAATATTTGTAAATCTTGACAATCCATCCAACAGTCTACAGTGGACCACAGTCGTGGGTTAAAGGATCACCAAACAGAATGACTAACATTTGCCTGAAGCAAAGCCAAAGTGTAGCAAAGAAAAATGAAGACAAATGGACAAAAGCTACTTGATTATGAATGTTTGATCAATTTTGTGGAAAAAGAAAAGTCAGTCATACTTCTTTTAATTCATCAGGGGGTATTATTTTATAGTCTAATATTTCTTTATAAACAGCTTTCAATTGGTTTGCCTATCATTGTAAAAGATTGCTTTTTATGATTTTTCTGTTTCAGTCTGCTATGTACCTGATCTGCATCATCAATTCATGCTTAGTGGCAACATGTAGGGCAATCATATGAGATAGTCAGTGAGGAAGATGATGTTTTCACAGTAAAGGCTCAGGGGTCAATGCTTACATTGTCACTGATGACATTTAATATAATTAAACTGTGACTATTTTTGATAATTGTTATTTATTTATTTATTTATTTGTTTGTTTTGTCCTGTATGATTTTTAATGACTTAATTCTAGCCTAGACTTACAGCTAGATATGTTTTTGCATATGAATGTTTAAATTAACCTAGGGTTGTATTTCTTTAGCCCTTTTCAGATTTGCAAGAAAACATCTTTTAACATTTTAAACAAACTTTCCAGCTGCTTTTATAAATTTGCTATATTTTTGAATGATACTGGTTATATTTAGTAAAAGCAAAAAACCTCCACATGACATTGTGAATGGTCAGCCATACAAACTTTCTCCTCCGTGGACCCATAATCAGTGCTCTTTTTCCCGTCCACGTGATTTTGAAATCCTCTTCCTGTAACACATTTGCAAGGGAGAAGAATCCAGATCGTGGGTGGTGCCAGATGTTCCCTGCGGCAAACAGTGCTGAAGCTAGACAGTCTCTGAACATCTGTGGAGGTGTGCTGACTGAAAAGAGAAAATGTTCCACAAAGTTCGAACGTCAGCTTCACATTAGCTATTGTTACATCTGATTTGTGAGTGAGGCTTTTTAGCCGCTGGTAAAAACAGCAAGTGTGGCTTACTTCTGTACCAAGCAGCGTGCTGTAGGTTAATTACAATACTGCTGTCCACCCAGGAAAGTGTGCGTGTTCAGAGTTGCATGCCTGGAAAATATGCAGAGAAGAAATAAGAGTTGATACCTGTCTGTCAAAGAGACTGAGAAATATCCCTCTGTGTTCAGAGTGTGTTCTGTCGTGGGCAGCTGGCCACAGGCAGTTGAACTAGCAGCAGCATATCTCTCCAGTTCATTGGTGTTGGCCTTTGCCTTCCTGGCTCTGCATATTCTGGCAGCGATTCAGCCCTTGTCCCACAACATTAGACTTCTCAAATTAACATTTCATGTGATGGCATCGTGGTGTGGGTGTGTGACAAAGCTTGCCAGCACAGAAATGAAGCAAGCTGGCACCAAATGCTCTGTTAGCTCTCTCCTTCTCTCTTTCCGTCCCACTGCAACAACCTTGAACCAGTTTGTTAGCATCCCAAATGAACAGCATTGGTGTTGAGATTTGAATAGCATAAATAAATGAATGAGCAAACAAACCAGCACAAGCCCGACGTTGCTCTAGTGGCAATCTAGGGCTTGCACTCCCTGTGTAATGATCTGCAAATAGCTGGCTGCTGAGATAAAATTCAATTGAAACTACAAACTGCCACTGTCGACCACATGGCAAATAGGCTGTTATAATTTCAACCAAGAGATTTGCCATGCACCTGTTAAAATCCAAACACTTTAAGTCAATAGGACTGCTGGGTAATATCATAACAAGGCCACATGTTGCCTTGTATTTTGCATCCCTGTAAGGGTCTCATCTCATCACCAGTGACACAAAAGCTGAAAACATTAAACGGTAAGAAGTGCAAAGTGGATGGATTCTCTAGTGGGTGCATTCAAAACTGACAGGGAGATATAATATCGTCTTTGTTAGTTAATGTCATGGAAATTGCCATAAATCTACATGGCATGTAATCTCCATTACTTTCTGTGCTTTGCAGTTTGTGTTTTTTCTGTCTTTGTAATCATTAGGCAAGATCTTGAAGGTGAATACCTTTAAAATGAAGAAAGAATAGGCCAAACCCGAGGCACAAACAGTTATGTCTGAGTAGTTCCTGTTCTGCTCAATTAGATTAAAAAAAAACAAAAAAACCTTAACCTAAGGTAAACTATCAATCCTGTCTCTGGAGCTGTACTTGTTGGTTGTTGAAGTTATCTTAGACACCACTGAGATGGATTCAATGCCATACATTACACTAAAAGTCAAATTTTAAGCTTTCCACTTGGCTAAATTAATTTACCGCGTGGACATTCATCCACACTAAACACTGATAATACTCTTACATCTAATAGTAACATGTTGTTCATGGACATCTGCTACACACAGTAGGTGAAGCCAGCCTGATGCTGAAGAAGAGCTCAGTTATCTCAAAAAAAGCAAAGCTCTCTTTACTGCAAACCTTCTGCCTCCCCATGACCTCAGCTCTCTGTCACAGTGCAATAACATAAACACATTTCGTGTTATATTTAATCGTGAAATGAGGTCAACCTTCCCATCGCTATTTCAAAGTAACTGAGAAAGAATGTAAACACCATTACTGTGAAGTATATACTTAAAGAAGGTTTGATGCTGATTGGCCAGTGTTTTAGGTCAAAAATCAAATGGTTAATGTTCGGTTAAGGAGGGCATGTCAACGTGAAGTGACCGAAAACAAGCAGGTTGCATTTCCTTTGAATACCAGCTATTGTATATTACATTATTACAGTGACTCTCACCGCACTGTCCGCTTAAATGGCCATTTCTACCTCTGACAGGCTCTTTAAAATACACAGTTCTGGCTGACCTTGTGACTCACTTGGAGAACGACACAGAGATCAAGCATGTGAATGAATGTTTATCCCAGGAACACTAAAGTAAAGGGGCTCTCAAAGGGTGATGCTGAATGCAGCTAGCTTTTTTTGTGTATCAGGCGGATTGAGGGTAGATGTGTGTTGGAACAAACAAAACTACTCTTTCAGCAGTGGTCAAAGCTTTTGGTTGTAGCAGTACTGCCTTTCCATTAGACACAGCATATATAAGTGCAGTCCTCTTGCATTGCTTTGGCTGCTGCTTTTGCTTTTTATTCCAAAGCAAATATTATGTCTCATCTATTTTTTCTAATCCCATTTATTTATTTATTTTTATTTGGGTAATTTTTTCTCACCCTATTTGTGTTTACACAGCTACAGAGAAAGTAAATTGGATTTCACTTCCTTCACAGTGAAAAACCAAAGACCACACAGTACAAAATGGTGATTGAATATCTGGTAATAGGAATCTCTATAAATTTGAATGTGTAAATTTCAGCCTCTCGCTCTGATGACAGATTTAGAATTTATCCTTCGAAATGGGCTCCGTCATTATCTGTTGTTTGTAACTCATCACTTTTCCCATGACAGCACTGTGAAAAGGACTTCGCTTTTACAGCTGAGCACTCAGGAGAGGACTGATACAGAAAAGTATGTAAGCTTCAATTCTAGGTTGACATGCATACAATTTCTGGAGTGCTTTAAATGGGTTTCTTTGTAGGGAATGTTTTCTAGGGTTACAATAATTATTCACAGATGGAAAAAAATAAAAAGTGGTGAAAACCTCTGACAAAAGTAGCAAAAATGATTAGGTTTTATTATAAAATGAGGACATCCTGTTAATTATTGCCTATAATGTGTGAACAGAACTTCTCGTTTATTTAAAATTAGAGGTGAGGCTACTCAGTCAACACCTTGTATTTGCACAAGGCTGCAATGTGAAGTTTAAATTAAAAAGTGTTGCTGACAAGAGATCTCTTCCTAATAAGGCGCAGGTGATTGTTTTTAACAAAACATTGGGAAATTAAAAGGCACTCAGAGAGTGCATCCACCTGGCAAAGCTAAAACCTGCCTCGCACTTTTAAAGTGATCTGCACCTAATTTAGTGAGTTCTCTTTCCTGTCAGTGCTCCAAGTTTCCAAGTCTGCTTCATTGCTTTGGCTTAATCTTTCTGATAGACATATGGCACTGAAAATGTACCTTGATCCCAACTTCAGCCTCGGTTTAAGAGAAAAAAGCTTTAGCTTTCCTAAATCAGCTAAACCGTTTGTCCGACTTTAAAGCAGTTTGAAGCAAACGTGAAGTCCCGAACTCACAATGAATACTTTTAGTCTATGTTTAATCCTCAAGAACTTCAAGAATTACCAAATCTAATTATATGTAAAAAGGGAAATGATGTGTCAGCAAAATTTGAATGTTGGCTTGCTCTTAATTAGGCAAGCATCTTGCAGGGTGGCGTTTAGTCTCCTTAATTATCTCTGCGCGCGCTAAGTGTACTGTGAGACTAAATCTTAATAAGATGGGATGAGATTAAATTTTATTGATCTCTGTGGGGAAGTTGCAGCGAAAAATAAGAGGATGGTGTGCTCATATATGTGATATGTTAAAATAAATAAGCTTAAAGGATCATTCAGATTTGTGCCAAACTGGAATTATAATAGCTCTGGTGGCTGATATTACTAATTATGTGGCATTCACTGTTTTCATTTCTGAGAGTGTCTCCGCAGGTTGGTCGAGGCTACTCCAAAGAAAAAACATTCACATGGTGGAAAATGGAAAATGTGGATGTGGTACTTTAATTATTTGATGGATTACAGGGAAATTTGCTCTGTTTTCTTCATGTATTTTGTTTTATTGTCATATTTCTCACTGTCCATTAGCTTGATTCTGCCAGAGGTTTTGTCCCGTTATATGCAAGGCTTTCTTCCCACTCCCCCAAATGCTCAGTAATCTATAATTATCTGTGGTCTTTACCCTAATACGTAAAAAGTGCTGAAATTCTGAGATAACTTATTATATCATTTTTATAACATTAGCAGCCTCAGACACCAAACAGCTAGACAACATCAGTGTCAAGAAAATGTGCCAGCTGCTATAAAACTGTCTGCCTGTAGTTTAAAAAGGTCTGAAAAGAAATATAGAATACCCAAAGACATTAGCTTTTTATGCCACATCAAACCTATATTACCTGCATTACCTTCAGTGCAACTCAACCTCTAAATGTTAAAAGTCAGAGAAGTCAGAGATTTGAGTGTTTTATGCAAAGAAGCCTTAATGTAGCCTTAGCCTGCTAGCTTGCAGCTTAGGGGAGTGTGTTGCTGAGTTTTTCTTTCTCTTAACCAACAGCTTCTTTCTTCTTTTCTAACCTATGCAGCAGCGTAAGACCTGATGGCAGGTGTTTAAATCAACATACTTTCCCTTTGACATAGCTGCTGAAAGTGGCTGTAGACTTTTAATCTTGTTAAATGGATTATGTAGCTTAAGAACTAGGAATTTTCTCAACTGGTGAAGAAACTTGATATAATATATGGAAATATCTAAAGGAAATACAATTCAGGACTGTAAACATAACTGATCAGTAATGAAAAAAGCACCCAGACAGTTTAGCACATAATTTGGGCGTAGCCTTCTAATTGAAAACACCAATCATATCACTCTATGTCAGACATTGAAATCAGTTTTTTTCTGTCCTACTTAATCTTAATCAACATAAAGCTGCCTGTCATTAATCCTCTTTTTCTTCATTCACTCAGATCAATGTTTCCTTTTCCTGAGCAAAGATGGTAATTAATCCCCAGTCCAACAGAGCCTTCAGGCATGACTATTTGACAAAGACCCTAATCAATGCTTCTGCCTATTCTTCTACCTTTAGTAAATGAATAGCTTTTCTTTTTTTTATCATGTTTTACATTCCATCGAGGGAATCGATGATTCATATAACAGCCAAATAATTAATGTTTGAGCACAATCCCTGAAGAAAATCTGAACTGTTGCAGAACAGTTTTAGAACTTCGACCTGGGAGCTCATAAATGTGGTTGGAAGGGGTTTGAATTGATATGCTTCCTATTATGCTTATTAGAATTATTTCAGTAATAAATGGTCTATACGGGTGTCTTTTCACTTCATTGCCCCCCCACCCATTGACTCACCATTAATGACATTTCTGAAGAACGATGAATAATTGATGTTATTACTGAAGAAACTTATATGGGAGAAGTGGAACTCGGAGGAATCAAGCAGGCTGAAGACTGGCAAGGCTAGAG